CTACCTGACAATTTAGTCGCCCTGCAGGCGAAGAAGACTCTCGTGTGATTCGAGGGATGGCGACTACCATATGGAGGAAATGTATCCAATATCCACAATGCCAAGGTTGGCGATAAGCTACAGGTATTGAGATACCAGTATCATGATCACCAAAGTGTTAATACTCTTTCGGTAAAGTCATGCTAATCACGTTTACACGGTACATTTGCATGCAAATTTCTCCGATCTTACATTTACATGCAGTCCTCGATGTGACAGCACACTGCGAGCTTACATTGACATGCCAATCACATTTACACAGTACATTAACATGCAAATTTCTCCGATCTTACATTTACATGCAGTCCTCGATGTGATGGAGCGCTGCAAGCCGATCTTACGTTTACATGCAGCCCTCGATGTGAAGGTGCGCTGCGAGCTTACATTGACATGCTAATCACATTTACACAGTACGTTTACATGCAAATTTATCACTTTAACATCACTAGCCCCCCCCCCCAACTTCGTTTATAACTCTGGGGCTATGCCCATCTCTAACCTTTAAAAACAGCCTGCATCAGCAGCTTCCCTCTTGCTTCCGCCTGATGACGATTGCTTACGTTGCGATCGAAACGTCATGCTCTATTATTGTTTCTACCTACGTGACTTTACCGAAAGAACCAAAGAGCATGGATTCCTGCAGTCACGAAATGTTAAAATCAAGATCAAAGTGTTAATATAGCGGTAATGCCAATACAATAGCATTGCCTGGTGACTACTGGTATTGTGATATCTTAGGAATGTATTTACCACCATTGTTCAAAATAAACAAGTGAAACGTTGAGGTCAATGTGACAACAACCCTCCATTCTAATACTGGAACCACTGACAAATAACTATCCACAAGAGCAGTGAATGGAAAAATTATCATAAGATAAACACCAGTATACAAGTTACATATTGTACGTTTAAGAAAATTGTGTGCATGTGTGCAGTCCTTGTATCAACCAGTGGTGAATAGAGGCCTGCCCATACTGTGTCAGCCATGGGCAATGTTTGTCAATACTTCCCCGGTTGCCGAAGGGAGTGGCGCAGGACTGGATTATATGCAACTTGCTATTAGCTATGGCTGAGAATTGAACTCCGGACACTGGGTTCATAAAGCAATGTGCCAATGGCTCCATCCCAATCAAAGAAAATTATACAAATATGACATTACTAACATATCAGCAACGTGCTTCTTATGAACCACATTTCACTGCTAATAATTATTCACTTAACCTTTATGTATTTAGGAAATAAATAAAGACATGGATGGTTTTGACTGTAACTGTGCATTCAATTGGTTATAGGTAAATGATAATGCTGAGTATTATAGAGAACGTAATTTGGGCTCAGTAAGAATGAATTAAGTACAATTTGACGTATCGTAAATTCATCATAAATATATTACGAAGGCATACTATTAACTATGTGCATCACGAATAAGATAAGCAAGGGGCATGACATTGCACTAGGCCTGCAGTGATCGACTCGAGCAGTGGTTGATGACATCTACAAGCAACACCACCACCATCCACACGACCACCCACAGGACCACCTCTATGAATAACAAAGAGAAGTATACCGTTTATAGCCTTCACATACTTTGGGGGCAAGTGCTGTTGGCGAACACCTAAGAAGGCCGGCACGGCACATGTGGAGGTGGTGTCGTCAGTACCATGCCCAACCGCCTTTGTCTCCTGAGTGGTGATGTTCACAAATCACACCAGGTACTCATTTGAGGGTGACTTGACCTAGAGAAGGCCCAGGACCAGTTCAGATATTCGCCACTGATGGTGGCCGTAAGTGGGAATCGAACTCGGGTAGCCAGGTTCGGAGTGCAGTGTGCTAACAAATATACTACCGCTTCCTATCAATAGAACAAAATATAAAAAACGCTGTTTACCACAAAGTGGTGGTCACGTCACCACGGCGCTTGTGCCATGCTGGGTGCACTTTGAGGCCACGTGAAATTTCGAAGGCCCGCTGGCAGGTCACTAACGGACCCAGCAGGTGCCATGGGTTGACCGACTAAGTTGAGTGACAGATGCACCAACCGTGCTCCCCACTGTGCCAACTTTCTACGTTTTAGCCGCATCGTTTTTCTAGAGGGCTACTGCTCCAGCTCCGTAGCAGCGTCCTTCACGAACCTCCTCCACAGAGGCTGATTTTTACACTGGTGGTACTCATCATCGGTAAGTCCAATCAGCTCCATAGCATTGAGTACCACATCAGTAAATCTCTTATCTAGCCAATGCCGTGCCCATTAAACCCCATCTATCCAGCATACCATCACATCCATCGCAAACACCACCACGATCACACAAGATAAACGCCAACGACATCTATTAGCAGCACTACCAACACTGATGGCACCACCGTTTCAACTGTCAACACCACCACTGAAATACACACCACCACCTACAGCACCACCACCAATACCAAACTCAATAGCCACCAATCGCCACAAAGTGACGGTGACAGCGCCACAGTGCCTGTCCCAAGCTCGGTGCACTTTGAGGCAATGTGAAGTGTGGAAGGCTAGCTGGCAGGTCATAGACAAACCCAGGTGTTTTGGATTCACCAACTGAAATGGCAGATGCACCACCTGTGCTTCCCACTGTGTTTTAGCCGCCCGGTGCTCAGATCGTTGTAAGCGTCCCTCCTCCACCGTTCATTGTTGTTGGAGGGCAACTTCCCTCTGCCCACTAACGTCCTTCACAAGCCTCCTCCACAGAGACCGATCTTGACACCGCTGGTACCGAACATGCCGTGCCCATTTAGCCGCTTCTACCCGGCCAAACAGAAGTTATTTGGGCATGTGGCGGTTGGGATTTACGGGCGACATAACTTGGCCAACACAACCTTGCTTACCAGAGGAGCTCACAGATGGAACTGTGTGCAGATAGTTCTAAGGTGTATGAGCTCCTCACACAATCCAGTCTGGTTAAACTCAGGATAGTAGTAGGCCAGGCTGAATGTATGCATCCAGCACAGGTGTTTCTCTACAGGGGGTTGACGTTGCTCAAGCACAGAAAGGGCATCATCACTGTGGCTGACAAGACCCGGAAGTTCATATTGAGCAAAAGTACACGCACCTTAAACACACAGTTACACAGCTGATAAGATAACGCCGATCCATTCGTTCGAAGTGCTGTCAAGCCAGAGCTTATCACGAACACAACTCCCCAGGAATGGAAACTTCTCCACTTTCTACAAAAAAAACACCCCATTACTCATGGGAAGTGTTTGACACCCGGTGAAACGTTCCTAGCCAAGGATTATTCAACACACGCTGAGCCCCAATGTGGGTTTCGGCTGAGGGTGGTAATTTTCTGTCTGCTACGACAGACGTGTTGGACATCTTTGGAGGACATACGTGGTAAAGGCCTACGTTACCAGTAAGACGCCAGGAATATCCTTCAACCATTCAGGGTTCTTAACCGTCTCTGCTCACGATCATTAGGGACGTTTACAGCACAACCACCACAATCATCAACACCACCAATTATAACAAGCAAAACAAACAATACCACTACCACCTCCTCTAATCATCACAACCTCTATCACCAACAACAACAACCGCCATTCGCCACTAAGTGGCGGCGACGTCACCACGACGCTTGTGCCAGGCCATGTGCACCTTGAGGCCACGTGAATTGTCGAACGCCCGCTGGCAGGAGGTCACGGGGCAGACCCAGGTGTCACGGGTCGACTGACTGAGATGACTGGCTGATGCACCACCTGTGCCCCCTACTGTGCCAACCTGCTGTGCTTTAGCCACCCGGCGCTCCCCTCGTTGTTGTGAGCGTCGCTCCTCCGCCCTCCGTTGTTGTTGGAGGGCGACTGCCTCCAACTGCCCAGTAGCGTCTTTCACGAGCCTCCTCCACAGAAGCCGATCTTGACACCGCTGGTACCGGTCATCGGCAAGTCCACTCAGCTCCACGTCCTCCTGTACCACATCACTCCATCTCTTCTCTAGCCCGTGCCGCGCCCGTCTAGTCCCCTCGATCCGGCCGAACAAAAGCTGCTTCGGCATGCGGTGGCAGGGCATGCGGGCTACATGACCCAGCCAACGTAGCCTTGCCTGCCGGAGGAGCTCACCGATGGGACCGTGCCCAGATCTTTCAAAGATTTGTGAGCTCCTCACACAATCCAGCCTGGTTAAACCCATGATGGATCGTAGGCAGGCTAGCCACCACCAAGAGCAACACAGCCACCTAAAGAATTCACACCACCTCAACCACTACCTCCAGCCCGACTACCAGAACCAATTCCACCACCACCTACAATACCAACACCATAATCACCTCCACAACACCACCTCCATCAGAGGGGGACGCACTGATCCAAATCCTACTCGGACCGCCCCACTCTGCACCTCATCACCTCCTAGGACTGTCCCACTCTGCACCTCATCACCACCTCCTCGGACTGTCCCACTCTGCACTTCATCTCCACCTCCTAGGACTGGCCCAATGTCCACCTCATCACCACCTCCTCAGACTGTCCCACTCTGCACCTCATCACCACCTGCTCAGACTGTCCTACTCTGCACTTCATCACCACCTCCTAGGACTGGCCCAATGTCCACCTCATCACCACCTCCTCAGACTGTCCCACTCTGCACCTCATCACCACCTCCTCAGACTGTCCCACTCTGCACCTCATCACCACCTTCTCGGACTGTCCCACTCTTCACTTCATCTCCACCTCCTAGGACTGGCCCAATGTCCACCTCATCACCACCTCCTCAGACTGTCCCACTTTGCACCTCATCACAACCACCTCGGACTTTCCCACTCTGCACCTCATCACTCTCTCCCCCGACTGTCTATGCACCTCATCACCACCTCCTCAGACTGTCCCACTCTACACCTCATCACCACCTCCTCAGACTGTCCCACTGCACCTCATTACCGCCTCCTCGTCCCATCACGCCGCGCCCGCCCGCCCGCGCCACCGCCACCGCTGCTCACTTCTTGACGTTGGCCTCGCCGTTAGGGATCTTGCGCAGCTTCTTCTTCTTGAGGATCTTGACGGCGCGGCGGCACAGCGTGTGCGAGTCGAGCATCTCCTTGACCTTGCCGTAGGAGCCCTCGCCCAGCAGGTCTCCCATCAGGTAGCGCCCCACCATCTTAGCGCGCTTCCTGCGCGGCTCGTACACAATCTCCGCCGAGTCGATGCGGTGGATAAACATGTCGTCCACGTCGTTAATCCACTCCATCTGGGACATCTCCATGGCGCCGTCGCTTGTCGCCGTGGCCGCCGTGGCCGCCGTCTCGGTTGTTGTTGTTGCTGTCTTGTTTGTTTGTTGTTGTTGTTGTGGAGTGGTCTTCCCCCTCAGCCGCAGTCGCCGCCGCTGTTACTGCTGCTGTGAGGAGCGGCCATGACGGGGGAAGAGTGGCGGCTACGCCCCCCCCACCCGCCCCGCCCCCCACTAGCGACGACGGTGGCCCGAGAGGGGCGATATCCAGAACGCGATTTGATATTCAACGCAACACAAGCGGTCGACATCAGGGAAACGGGGTTAGCGTCTATGTTCTAGATTTGAAGCTTTCGTGACTGCAAGGATCCATACTCTTTGGTTCTATTCGATAAAGTCACGTAGGTAAAAAATAAAACAACAAAAATCACGACGTTTCGGCCACAACACAAGCGGCCTTCATCAGGTGAAGGGACCAGACTGTCTCGAGGACAGCGCTGGAGTGAAACACAGCCACGCTCAGACCACGGCCTTTAAGCTGTGTGAGAGAGATTAAGGTGAAGGAACAAAACTGTCGGGATGACAGAGCTCCAATGAACGCTGGGTGAGAGAAGTGAGGCGCCCGGACAAAGGAGTTTACACATCAAACAGCAGAATTTACCATTGAAACAGCCGAGGGACCAGCTTATGGCTGGTCACAGAAATGTTAAAGTCAAAGCCTACACATCCACAGAGGCACCTAGTACAAATCAAACAGGAGAATTTAGCATTGAAATAGCTGAGTGATTAGCTTGTGACTGGTCACAGAAATGTTAAAGTCAAAGCCTACACATCCACAGAGGCACCTAGTACATGGACGCCAAAGGAGCCGCGCTACCCAACTATCATACAGCTACCCAACTATCATACAGCTACCCAACTATCATACAGCTACCCAACTATCATACAGCTACCTAACTATCATACAGCTACCCAACTATCATACAGCTACCCAACTATCATACAGCTACCCAACTATCATACAGCAAACCAATGTGACAAAACTAAGTCTAAATTACATCAATATAATAAATGTACTCAATATATTCTTCAATAAGCTGAGCTATTAACTGCAACTGGGTATACACTTCGAAAGGCAAACTATTTTTCATAAATAGTTTGATAACGACCGCTTGTGTTGCGATCAAAACGTCGTAGTTTTTTGTTATTTTCTCTGAACCTATCTACGTGATTTTACCGAAAGACCCAAATAATACATTTGTTATCAACAGTGGCCTTAACAGAAAAAAAAATACGTGATGTCGGGCAGTGGCCTTTCTTCGTGGCACATAAAGAGAAGGGGAATTGCCCGAAACGTCGCCTATTATATATTAAAAGGGCCTCTTCTATCTCCTGTCAAGAAGGGCCCATGATATATATTGTTCTTTAAATGCAGCGTTCTTCACTCATTTTCAGAGGGGGCCACTTTCGCCGACAAGACACCACAGTGCGAGGGGCCGCCACGCGTTTGAAACAATTGTTGGGTTTGACAGCAGCAGCAGCACGATGCTGACGCAGATGGGGAGTCTTCTCACTGTTTGTGTATTGCCACGGGGGGCGCACTAAAGGCCACCAGGGGCTGCCAGTGGTCCGCGGGCCTTGCAACGAAGAACACTGGATGCCTTGAGTTGCTTTGATGATCTGTATTTGAGCTACGGATATCACAATACCTGTCTACCTTGCCCGTGACTGCCTCCCCCCCTCATGGGTTATGTGGCTACTTATTCCATCGCAATGACGGAGACATTGCTCACTGATCGCGATTTGCGATCTCTCCTCGCCGCTGCAGTGGAAGCGCCTCACGCGTGCTGAGTAAAACGCCGAGGTGACCCCATCGCTGTCAACCCACACGGTTTATTCTTGTACAGGCAAATTGGGGTTTCAGGTCCATACGGCGTGCAGCCGTTTCAATACGGACAACAAGATAGTGTTGTTTTGTCTATTTGTTTGTGTTTCTCCCTTGTGATGGGACTTTGTAGGATGAACGTTGAGATTTATAAGGACACGGCGTGATCAATAAGGTCTGAATTGGTCTGTAATAAGGTAGGGCACTGATAAGGGGTTGACAGGTATGTTACCCCAGGAGGATCCGGCGTTTGTTGTGTATGGCCAATCCCATTATTGAGCGTTTGGTGAGAAGTTAACTACCTCGCCTTGTACACAGGAGGTCGTGGGTTCGATCCACGACCCTGACACCGTCTGTATATTTGGAGTTTGTGGTGTCTCTCTCCCTGTGGTCGCGTGGATTTTCCTCCGGGTTTTTCCTCCACATTTGGAAACATGCGTTTAGAGTATTTGGCTGCTATACATTTCCACGGGAATAGCGACTTTATTGAGCTATCATTTGTGGCCAGGTCGCTTCTGAAAAAGAGCTACGTAGCTCAGTGGAGCCAGTAAAATAAACAAATATAGATAAGTTTTAGTTTCGTACTGTAAAAGACAGTATTACACTCTGGCAGAGAGGCTGGTGGTGAGTGGATTGCAGCTGTCCGCGCACTCCGTGTGTCTGTGGGGAGCGGTGGTGCAGCGGTTAGCGTGACGCTGCGCTACGAACCCGGCCAACGGAGTTCCATTCGCGCTCACGGCCACCACCAGTGACGATTACATTATGTAGCACAATTTTTGTTCCTGTCTAGTTAGTGTTATTTCGTAATTGCTTATGCCTAAAAAGTATAGAAAATGGCTATTATTCCCCACAAACTTTGCTTTTGTGACCAGGACAGTGATATTTAGAAATTTACCTATTTTCAATGAGAAAATGGGAGAATTTGTATCTTTTCGTTCACATAAAATCAGAAAAAACAACATGAATCAAAATGAACATGTATTTATACTAAAGTAATACAAAATTTACAACAAAAGATTTAGAAGTGAGTAGTTTTTCGAGATTTACAATTATACTGTAAATCACTTTCACGAATCAGCCTCCAAATGTAGTCTCCCATCATGTTCTCGTTTTACTGTCCTTGGTAGCGGCGTTCAGAGTCCAGTATATCCTGGTGGAAGCACTCGCCTTGCTCCTCCGAGTATGCTCCCATGTTCTCCTTGAATTTATCAAGATAAGCATCAAGGATATGGACTTTAAGGGACATCCTACAGCCCATTATGCCGTAGTTCTTCACCAGAGTCTCAACTAGCTCCACATAGTTTTCGACCTTGTGATTGCCCAGGAAGCCACGAGCCACTGCGACAAAGCTGTTCCAAGCCGCTTTCTCCTTACTAATGAGCTTCTTGGGGAAATTCATTGCACTCCAGGATCTTCTTTATCTGTGGTCCGACGAAGACACTGGCTTAGACCTTTGCCTCAGACAGCTTCGGGAAGAATTCTTGAAGGTACTTGAAGGCTGCCGACTCCTTATCTACAACTCTGACAAATTTTTCATAAGGCCAAATTTGATGTGCAGCGGTGGCATCAGCACCTCCCGGAGGTCCACCAGTGGCTCCCACTTGACGTTGTTCCTCCCCACAGAGAACTCGGTCCGCTGTGGCCAGTCCCGCCTGTGGTAGTGCGCCTTGGTGTCTAAATCTTTTGTAGTAATTTTTATATTACTTCCGTATAAATACATGTTAATTTTGATTCATATGTTGTTTTTTTCTGACTTTATGTGAACGAAAATACACAAATGCACACGTTTTTTCATTGAAAATAGGTACATTTCTAAATATCACTGTCCCCGTCACAAAAGCAAAGTTTGTTGGAAATAATAGCCATTTTCTGTAATTTTGAGGCATAAGCAATTAGGAAATAACACTTACTACCCAGGAACAAAAAAAAGTTGTTACACAGTGTTATCTGAACCGGTCCTGGGGCCTTTCCCTTGGTCGCCTAGGCTTCAAATAAGTACCTAAGTGCTATGTGTAAACACATCGCCGCTCAGGAAACAAAAGCGGCCGGGCGTGGTGTTTGGCCACCAACCCCCTCGTGCGCAGTGCTGGCCGTCATCGGTACGACAGTGCTCGCTGACAGCACTTGCCCCGAACAGTCTGTTCAGGCTACACGAGGGGTCTTTGTCTTTTGAGGTGACAGCGCTACCCCCACGGTGATTCACGACTCAACGTGACAGCAGTGCAGGTTGAAGCGATTCTTTGAAAACGGAACTTTGTAAGGTCAAGAAGTTACAATTGCGCTGCGAGCACAACGTGTTTGATCAGTGCGTACTTACTCGCTTTGACACGTGGTTCAGAAATACGGTCATTCATTAAAACCAATTTTAAGTGGATAAAGAAGCACATGGATGAGAGAACGTCCGTTCGTTTCTCAGTCCGCTTGTCCTGGTGAAGATCGCGGCAGCAGCATGCTGAGCAGGGAGGTGCAGACCTTCCTTTCCCTGGCAACAGACTCCAGTACTACATTACTATACACCAAGACCGTAGCCATTGGGGGGGACCAAATCTCCCAGGGGGTCTGGGGGTCCCAACCCAGAAAAATATCTAAATTTGAAAACTAATTTCCTGCCTAAAATATTAAAAAATTCACTAACACATGGAATGGACTTTTTTGTTTATTTTTTTACAATAATGTATAATAGTGTATTGTATTCCATTGCTCTGTTATTATTATTTTACCATTTCTTGTTTCATTGTATGTAATGTTTGAGATTAGGGATTAATAAAGTACAACCATAACCACAATCATATAAACAGCAACCTATGCATTGATTTATATGAAGACAAGTCCAGATATTGTGGCCAAGGTTTAGCAAATTGTTGTTTTTATTTACATAGCATCGCAATTTTTATTACTTTTTTATAGCAATATATTTTGGGAGGGGGGGACATTTTGAGCATATTTGAATATTTATTATAATTACGGCCTTGTTATACACTACTACACCACTATACACTACACTATACACTACTATACGCTACTATACACTACACTATAAACTACTATACTAAACACTACTATACACAGACTCTACCTAGGGAATTCCCAGGCGTTCCCATGGCAGCTGAGCGACATAGTCCCACCAGCGTGTCCCGGGCCGTCTTCTCCGCAGGGTTGCCGGGCTCACTCTCCGTGGTTGGGTGAAAAGCTCGGTAATCCGGGAGAGCCTCAGAGTCGAGCCGCTGCTCCTCCAGATCGAGAGGAGCCAGTTCAGGTGGTTCGGGCACCTGGGGCAAGGATTGCCCCCCCCCCCCCACCGGTAGACTCCCCCTGGAACTCTACCGGGCAAGTCCC